AAGGCAATGAGTTTTGGAATATCAGTGGGTCTACAGTTTACTTCATCAGGGCATTAATTACTGCATTTTGCTAAAGGCACCTGCTATTAATAACCAATGTTAGGAATTCTTTTTTTAAATTCATTTATGGGTGTGGGCGTCGCTGGCTGGCCAATTTTTATTGCCTGTGCTGTGGTTGGTTTTATTTTTCATTTGTGTGTGTTAGGGTGATTACTGTTGAAATTCAGTACTTGGTCAGTGTGTGTGGCTTTCCTGTGTACTTTCATCAGGAATTCCCCGTTGGCCCTGCATTCCACCATGGCGTCCAGGAATGGGAGCTATTTGTTCTTTTCCTCTTCCCTGGTGAATTTGATGCTGGTGAGAGTATTGTTTATTGGTTGGTGTGTCTCCTCTAGTTTGGTCCATTTGATGATGACGAAGGTGTCATCCACGTATTGGATCCATAGTTTGGGTTGGATTTGCTGACGGCCCATGCTTTTGAGCCTCTGCATCACCGCTTCTGCTATTAGACCGGAAATAGGTGACCCCATGGGTGTCCCATTGATCTGTTCATATATTTGGCTGTTAAACATAAAGTGGGTCATGAGGCATGGGTTCAATAACTTCAGCATGTTGTGTGAGGAGATGGTGTCACTCAGGACTTGTTCTTGTTTTAGTAATGTTGCTCGTGTTTCTCTTGCCAATGGTTTGTTGATCAATGTGAATAAGGCGGTGACGTCAATTGATACCTTGGCCTCATCATCATCTCTTCTTATGTCCTTGAGGGATTTGAGGAACTCTTGGGCTGAGTGGATTGAGTGGGGTGACTTGCCGACAAGGTGCTTCAGTCTCCATTGTAACTCCTTTGCTAACCTATGTGACAGTGTGCCTGGGAGGGAGACTATGGGTCTCAGGGGTACTTCCAGTTTGTGTACCTTTGGGTGGCCATAAAATCGGGAGGTGTTTATCTGTTCTGGTTTCATTTTTAGGTAGTCTGTTTTGTTGATTGTCTGTTTGAGTCTCTTCAGTGTGTATTATATTAGCCAGTTGCAGTATCGGATCTAATTGCACTTGCCGCTACGTGTTAGTGTCTGCTAGTAGTGTCTGTGCTTTAGTGAGGTAGTCCCATTTGTTTAGTATTACTGTCATGTGCCCTTTGTCCGCTGGTAGTATTATGATGTTTTTGTCTTTTCTCAGTCCTTCTCGGGCCTTCCTTCCTGATGTGATGAGAGTGTTAAGTTCGCTCCTTCTGGTCAGTGTTGGGACCACTGCCTGTCTTATGGCTTGTTGTGTTTATTAATTGATGCCGTTGGTCTTCTGTGTGGTTTCTAGTGTGGCTAGAAATTCTGTCTTGTCAGCATCTCTGTGGTTGTAGTTGAGTCCATGAACTCGAACAGCTTTCTCTGTGTCTGTTAGTTTCCTGTCTGAAAGGTTTCTTATCCAGGGGTCTGACCTATGGTTGTCCTTTTGGTGAGTTAGTTTGGCTAGTTTTTCTTGTAGGATCTGTCTTTTCTTGGTTCTTGTTATCTGTTGACTGACGTTAATGGCTCGTGCTAAGTCTGATGTCCAGTCTAGGTTGGTAGCGTCTTGGAATAGGGTTTTTTGGTGCATAATTTCTCTATCACATCTATGGAGCCGGTTGTGTGCATCGTTGATCATTACCTTCACCATCCTGTGGCCATTGTTTTCTACTGTCCTATGTGCATGTGGGTTGTTGATGGGGAGATTGTATCTCACACAGTGTGGTAATACCTGGTTCCTGAGGCATCCATGTCGGAAGTAAAGTTGCTCGTGGGTAGCACCCTGTCGTTTGGTGTAGTTTTCCCATTTCTGGGCCAATTTGAGTGTGCTTTGCCTGTAGGTCTCTAAGGTTCTTGAGTAGATTTGTAGCTCGGGTTGTGGATGCTGTGGGGCTGGTTTTTTTTCTTATTGTACTTGGTCAGTGTGTGTGGCTTTCCTGTGTGCTTTCATCAGGAATTCCCCGTTGGCCCTGCACTCTACCAGGATGTCCAGGAATGGGAGCTGTTCATTCTTTTCCCCTTCCCTGGTGACAAACCAACCACAGCATCCACAACCCAAGCTACAAATCCACTCAAGAACCTTAGATTTATTGTCCTTCCGTAGTTGCCCTTGAGAAGGTGGTGGTGAGCTGCCTTCTTGAACTGCTGCAGTCTACGTGCTGTGGTTGACCCACAATGCTATTAGGGAGGGAATTCCAGGATTTTGACCCAGCGACAGTGAAGGAATAGTGATATATTTCTAAGTCAGGATGGTGAGTGGCTTGGAGGGAAACTTGAAGGTGGTGGTGTTCCCATATATCTGCTGCCCTTGTCCTTCTAGATAGGAGTGGTTGTGGGTTTGGAAGGTTCTGTCTGAGGATATTTGGTGAATTTCTGCAGTGCATCTTGTAGATAGTACACACTGCTACTAATGAGCGTCTGTGGTGGAGGGAGTCGATGCTTGTGTATGTAATGCCAGTTAAGCGGGCTGCTTTGTCCTGGATGGTGTCAAGCTTCTTGAGTGATGTTGGGGCTGCACTCATCCAGGCAATTGGGAAGTATTCCATCACCCTCCTGACTTGTGCCTAGTAGATGGCGGACAGGCTTTGAAGAGTCGGGAGGTGAGTTACTCGCCAACAGTTTTCCTAGCTTCTGACCTGCTCTTGTAACGACTGTGTTTAAGTGCTGAGTCCAGCTGAGTTTCTTGTCGATGACAATCCCCAGGATGTTGACAGTGGGGAATTCAGTGATGGTAACACGGTTGAATGCGAAGGGGCAGTGGTTAGATTATCTCTTATTAGTGATGGTCACAGCCTGGCATTTGTGTGGTGCGAATGTTACTTGCCACTTGTCAGCCCAAGCCTGGATATTGTCCAGATCTTGTTGCAATTGAACATGGACTTCCTCAGGATCTGAGGAGTCACAAATGAAGTTGAACATTGTGCAATCATCGGCAAACATCCACACTTCTGACCTTATTGATGGCATCAAGCGATAAGAATCAGAGTGAAAAAAAGTAAACCATCATAAAGTTGGACAGATAATTCGCTCATCCTTATTGTGAAAGATGAAGACTTCTGTCAAATGATACAGGCATTGTTGATGAAGAGTAAATGAGACTCATTGAAAAGGTTAGTGCAAAATGTGAAATTGATAAAAGGTTTGGTTGGATATAACCAGCTCTTTTTGTAAGCCTCCACATGGCTTTAACAAGGTAGTTGCCATTTATGTAAATGTATGGGACAAAGGCAGAAATATTTCCATTGTATACTTCGTAAACATGGCAAATAGATTTAGTCATTCCCACATTTACATTTAGCAAGAATGAAAGGATGACTATAGACCAATCATAGATAAATGGTTGGGGACTGGATTTAGGGACACCAGATAAGTTCCTGACTGGTAACAGAGGGGAATTTGCTGATAACTAGTTTAAAAACATTTGAGAAAACATGAATGTTATGGCCATTAATACTGCAGCTGAAAGTCCATTGAGCAAGGGCATCCATGGATGGATTCACACAGTAATCAATAAAACACCAGAGAAAAGTTTTGCAGGTCAGCCTAAGTATAAGGGCGACACAGTGGCTCAGTGGTTAGCACTGCTGCCTCACAGAGCCACGGACTCGGGTTCCATCTGCCCTTAGACAATTGTCAGTGTGGAGTTTGCATGTTCTCCTCATTTCTGTGTGGGTTTCCTCCCACAGTCCAAAGATGTGTAGGTTAGGGTGAATTGGCCATGCTGAATTTCACATAATGTCCAGGGATGTGCAGGCTGGTGGATTAGCCATAGGAAATGCAGGGTTACAGGAATAGAGTAGGGATGCTCTTCAGAGAGTCGGTGTGGACTCGATTGGCTGAATGGCCTGCTTCCACACTGTAGGGACTATATAAGTTCGGAATTGCACTGTTCGGGCAGTTCATTCAAAAAATTTGCTTCAGCTGGATTATCCCTATTAATTGGTCTATGGAGGAAACCCCAAATTGCTCTTTCTGCTGGGTGTTAGTCATCCTGCTCTAGAAGGTAATACAATTAGTCCAACATTTTCTGCATGTTTGAATGCTTTACATACAGGGAGAGGGCTTTCATCAAGTCTGAGGTCACAGGTAAAGTTCAGCTCTGTGGAATAGGATCATCCAAAGTAGATTCCAATTCAGGAGATTGATGTAATATGAAATGAAGGACCGTATTTGTATCTGCTTTTACTTTTTTGAGAAAGTGACAATGCTAAGATCATATTGTATCTATTGCTATAATGCAATTACTGTACATGTCTCTAATTTTGTAAAGAAGTCTTCTTAAGGTTTGGCAGTTGTTTATCCTTCACTTTGAGTTAGCAGGCCATTGACTTGGCATAGGAAGGACGATTTGTGGCAGCACTCAACCCCAACCAAAGCTGCCAGTGATTGGTAACCCAGAGCCCAACATGGAAATAACAACAATCAATATAAGTTTAAAAAAAAACTAATGATTTATGAGTTGACCCACAACTGTATTAGTGCTTTCCGTTGAATAATAACCTTGCCTTCAATTCCATTGGCGGAACACACTTCCAGAAAAAAAAACACTTGGAACAAAAACTCCTGGAACTATTTTAGTTAAAAATTGGATTCTGCAATTCAAAAATGTAAAGCTCATTCCAAATGGATGGATAAGGAGGATCAAGTGGTCATAATTATCTTGAGAGCACATACAATTGGTGGATGTTCACATCTCTCATTGTCTTGTTCTCTCTGAGTGTCGAATGGGACAACTTGGTCTTGTGAGCATTTATGTTTAATGTTGGTGTTTGTGACAAATGTGGACGGACCTGAGAACATCTTCAATCTTCAAGTAACGGAAGATCAGTTTGCAGATTCAATTGATCCCATGATCAGATACATTGCATATTTCCAATATCACTACCTTTGAAAATCTTTGATATGATCATGTGTAAATTCAAAGGAAAAAGTGACGGTGGACCTGCCATCGAAATGCAGATGTTTCTGATTTATGTTCCTTGTTTATTGTGTTTCATACAGCTGGTGGCTCCTACTACATGATCTCCCGCTCACTGGGTCCAGAATTCGGAGGTGCCGTGGGCCTCTGTTTCTACCTGGGAACAACCTTTGCTGGTGCTATGTATATCCTGGGTACCATTGAAATCCTGTTGGTGAGTACAAGCAAAAGCTGGAGGAAAGAAAAAGCTTGGATTTTGCCGCCCAATTGCTATTTCAAAGTACTTCATCAAAAATGAGGAACTTTGAGATGTAAAACCAGAACAGTCAGTTAGCACACAACAAGGGCTGATGTCAACAATGGCATAATACTGAGACTATCTGTTCTACTGGTCAGGTAGATATGGCATCATTTAATATTTGATCCAAAAGTCAACACTCCTTCAGTACTGTACTGAAGGCCTGGATTTTCGGCTCAACCCTTAAGGGGGATTTGAAGTGGCTTATGATGAGGCCAGGGCTGAGCCAAAATGAAGTGCCAGCTTAGAACAGAATTTTGGGTGGATTACGAAATTGATAACCCCAAAGCCGGACTTGGGAATTGCAATGAGTAATTAAGTTGTGCTGGTTGATTGCATTGGAGACAGCATGGGAATTTTTTCTAGTCTGCTCTTACACATAATTGCATTATCCAGGCAGCACAAACTGTTGTTGATTGTCTGGATCCTGTGTAGGGGGTGGTCAATATCATATGTGGCTGATGCTATTTAAAGGTAGCCAATACCTCTTAAAAGTGAGTTGCATAATTGTTGTAACAGATACTGGGACATTTCCCATCCATGAAATTGTCCATCATATTTATGACTAAGCAACGATGGCAGGTTCATCAAGACATGGAAGAAAGATGGCTGAATTTGAACTGCATCTTACCTGTGAAAAGAGATGGTACAACATGAAATAAATTGGGCTGCAAGACTTTCTGAAACTTCACTGGAAGCCTCGATGGAGAGGTTGCAGAGGAGGAGAAATGTATCTGTGGGGACTGGAAGTCAAGGGGGCATGAGGTCATGCAGGCAAATTTCCAAAAGGCAGTAGGAGCAGAGAACCTTGGAGGTGAGAGCCAGGGGATTAAAACAATGATCTGGTTACAGTGCAGTGCGAAGTTCAGTAACTAAATCACTGCCAGCTGCTAAATCGCAATGAACACATCACCCAAAACTTCACAGGTACACAGGAAAGCAACCCACACTGACCAAATCCTCAGCTTCCACAGCAACCACCCCAACACCCAAAAACAAAGCTGTATTGGGACACAATTTAAATGGGCCACCACTCACTGCAACACTCCAGAACTACGCAGGAAAGAGGAAGAACACCTATACAAAATCTTTGCTATGAACGGATATCCCCGCAACTTCATCTGAAGGTGCCTGCTAAATAGACAACAACGAGAGGACACTGTACGCCCTAATGCACTGGCCACACTGTGCTACATCAAGAACATATCAGAACTGACAACAAGACACCTATGACCACTAGGAATCATGGTAGCACACAAGCACACAGCCATGCTACGACAAATACTCACAAGGATTAAAGACCCCATACCTACGACGTGCAGAACCAACGTAGTTTACAAAATACCATGCAATGACTGCCACAAACATTACATCGAACAGACGGGAAGGAAGTTAGCCATCAGAAAATATGAACATCAGCTAGCAGCAAAAGGACATGATGATCTTTCCCTAATATCAGTACACTCAGAAAATGAAGGCTGTCAGTTTAACTGGGACAATGTAACTGTAGTAGCCCAAGCCAAACATAGCCAAGTATGGTAATTCCCAGAGGCATGTTTCTCAACCCATAATGCAATCAACAAACGTACAGAATTAGACCCCATACGCAAACCCAAAACAAAACCGGAAATGACACTACTCGCCATAACGGACCGGGCAATATAAATTCCAAGCGGAGTAGAATAACATCACTTCATCGAAGGCCTCGCTGATGATGTCACCTAGCATGGTGACGAAACATCTGAACGAAAACAAGCCAGCTTGGCGAACAAGTCAACAACCTCATTAAGGCTCATTGTTTCAGGATAAAGGATGGATCACTTGTTATCATTTGCATGAAGGAACTGTAAGACCATAATAATAAAATCTACTGAATGATACCAAAATGAAGAAATTTGTTGTATCTTTTACATTAACACAAATCAGATTCAACAGAAATTAAACCTGAACTAACAAGTAAATTACAATTGGTGCAAACTAAAAATTACACATGGAATAGCAGGTACAACAAAGACTACCTAATGAGATTCCAAGATTTCATATCAACTCCCCATCCAAAAGTAACAACAGATTCAATCTCTTAATCTTTCCAACTCTGTCTCCCAATTATGTAAGAATTAAAAAAGAATCTCTCATTTTTCTCATTCATTGCATTTAGTTCTTAAGTCACATGCAAAGATAATTCCACTCTTCCAGAGTCATCACCCAAACTCCAATAGAAACTCCTTAACCAGATTTATGACGATCTTGATGACAGATTCCTCAGATATTTTTTACCTCTCTCCTTTAATGAACCTTTTTCAACAGGCTACATGCTTCTGGTGAAACTGAATCATAGTCGTGAACTTGTCCAAATCACAATCTCTGTTGTAACCATGTCTTCAGCTTTTTGTCCATTTTTTAACAGCATTACACACATAGGCTCTTGTAAATTTATCCTTTTTACCCTCTTTATTCTCTCCTTTGCTGCAGCTGTTAGTCACTGCCCACATGGCTTTTGAATCTAATTTCCTTCATGTTGGCAATTCATCCAGGTCAAAGATTGTAAGGTCACATGGATCTGTATTTGTTATTATATGGAAAGAAAAATTAAATTGAAATACAGTTGATCCCTTTGCAATTGGTGTGACCACCTCAAAAATCTTTTCAAAAATTCTGAAAAGCAACAATAGACTTCATAGGATTTTAATGAAATTACAAATTTTCTTTAAATTGATACTTACAGCTTAAATGTCATCACACACTTAACACTAAGACAAGGATAAATTACTGCACTCAAACGGTGGTGAATCTTTGGCATTCTCTAACCGAACAGACTGTGGATGCTCAATTGCTGAACATAATCCAGGCTGAAATAGATAGATTTTTGAATCCTAAGACTGGACCATAAACTGTCAAAGATCAGCCATAACCTAATTGAACAGAGAGGTGACATTATGGCCTACTCCTGCTCCAATTGTTTGTTATATACCTAAGGAGTTCAGACTGACCTGACAGTTCAGGAACAGGAAGAACTGGATAATTTCACCTCTTCATTTCACACTTGCAAGCACCAGCATAGAAACTGACACTGTAAAATTTTGAGGATAGCATAAAGAGACTTCTCCACATAGTGACACACTGGAAATGAGTGGCCTCCAGACAAGGCAAAGGATAGTACAAGTGCCAGGTCGACCATGGACAATGTTGCACAGGTTCTGCTGCAGAAGCCTCAGAGGGGCACTTTCATGTGGCAGGCTACAGAAAAAAGTTTGATGGATGATAGCAATAAAATGCTTGTACCTTCCAAGAATCCTACCTTTAATGTGAAAGAGCATGGAGAAGTCCAACACTCACTTAGCATGAGGCTTTGCAAAGAGTTTGCCTGTGCTTTCAGCATGAAAACAGTGGCCAAATCCATCAGTATAATGGTGGGCCCGGTCATCATTTAGCCTCTGAAGATGGCAATTTCTCAGCCTCCATTGCAGCACAAGCAGAAGCCATCCAAAGTCTGTGTGCTGCAGTCATGAAGTCATGAAAGTTCACCGTGCTACCATGCAGGCTTAAACTGTTATCATCATAACTGAAGGCACCAGTGTTCACACATTACCTAGCACGCTATGCTCTAAAAGATTGAAGTGATTACTGAGTTGCTGCTTTAGTGCAGCGGTTCCATGATGTACAAACCACTTTTCTTCCCTCAGTTGTCCTCCCACCATAGCCACTCCACCAGGAGTTATTGGATTTCTGCCGGACTGCTGCCATCGAAGTGAAATGCTGCAATTCTGAATCAGGCTTCAATTCTTCAATACGACAATGTACTTCAAGAAATGCATCATCTTTATTCACTGTAGCATCATCTTGCAGTTTTGAGGACAGAAACTGCTCGAGAGTATTCCGCAAGGCCATCTGCAATATCCCCCATTGAAAATCAACACCAGGCACTGGGCTAGGCACTGCATAGCAGCACTAGGACAGGCAAAGGAACACCGAGACTGACAGTAGAATGATTAACTAAACAACACAAAATGACTTGATTTATAGATTTGATTTGAATGTTGATTTTGTGGCAGCTTTTAATTTTGCACTGTCACCAGGCTGACAATGTAGCGGTCAGTGGCAGAGAAAATGAAAGGTGTGAGACTGTCAGTGAATGTGAAAAAGGGCTAATGGTTACTGTTATCACCCTTGAATGAGTTCTTCACATTCAGGTAGGCCAGGAAGCAACTGTGTCATTGGCCTCCTCTCTTTCTCGTCCTTGCCGTGCTCCTCAACTACTTGCCATAGAGCTGGTGGCACGGGCTGTCACCTTGTGATGTTGAACTCGTGGAGGATGTAGCAAGCCAGCACAGGTGTTGTGACCACTCTTTCAAGCGTCGTGGGCTCTTCCAGAGTGGTCAAGACAATGAAGCATTGTTGCAGCATGCCAATAGCCTGCCCTGACATATGACCTTCATTGTATGGATACTGCACAAATGGGTTATACAGAAGCGAACAGAAGTCATGTGATCAGCACTTTGCACTTGTCATCCAGTAGCTACCCTTTGCTATGATGTGTTGGCCCAAATCTAAATAGCACAGCAGAGAACTGCAAAATGAAGGCATGTAGATTCTTATAGCATTTATTATATACCTTATGTCCAGTACCTAAAGAATCAGCTTTTCCAACTTTTAAAAGTGCTTCTTTCTACTGGAAATGATCAAGAATGAAAACCTCCAAGTCATGAACTGATTTCTGTTCACAAAATTCTAAGAACTGATCAGTTTCACCATCCTGAAGGTTACCATTGACCAGAAACTCAACTCATCTTATAAATACAGTAGCTACAAGAGCATGTCAGAGTCTAAGAATACTGCAGCAAGGAACTCATCTCTTGACTCCCCCCAAAGCCTGTTCACCATCTGCAAGGCATAAGTCAGGAGTTTGATGGAATACTCCCCATTGGCCTGGATGGGTGCAGCTCCAACAACGCTCACGAAGCTTGACACCATTCAGGACAAATCAGCCCAATTGATTGGCACCACATCTTCAAATATTTAGCCACTGAAATACCAAAACACCTGCAAGTTCCCATCAAAGCCACTCACCATCCATCCTGATATGGAAATATATTACCGTTCCTTCACTGTTAATGGGTCAAAATCCTCAAGTGCCCTCCCTAAGGACATTGTGGTTTACATACAGTACATGGGCTGCCATGGTTCAAGAAGGCAGCTTCTCAAGGACAACTAAGGACAGGCAATAAATGCTGACAGCCAGCAATGTCCATATTCCATTGTGTGAATATAAAAAAGCATGGAGTACCTAAAGGCGCAATTTCCCCAAACAGGATTGACAGTACTTTGATTCCTGAAGGATATTGAAGCTGCCTGATTAAAGCATTTAAAATTTGTCATCTGCCTTACAAAATAGTTCAGTGGATAATTCTATTGTACAATGTCATGTTGAATCATTCAGGGCAGAAAGATCCCAGGATCGATCATGGCTCAGTTTCGACTCACATTCAGGATCAGCAGTGTGGTAGGTCAGGAAAATGTATACTGTTTTCATACAGGGCAGCATAAATCTGATTTTCTTTTCCCTAAGGAGGCATGCGGATGCTGGGATAATTGGAACTGTAGAGACTGAAGTTGCTACAATTTCCTTAGATTCACATTAGTGTCAAATGGGTGTGGAACTAAGGTGGGTAAATGAAGTTGAGGTGTAGATCAGCCAATGATATCATTGAATGGCAAAGCAGACTCAATGAGTTGAATGTTCCTGTGTTTTCCTCTCTACAATATGTTTAAAAAATCCTTCAGTTTGTATAACATTGTAAACATAAGAACAATTTTACATTATTTAGCTATTGAATCCTGATAACGATAGCATATTATCTTCCGTTTACCCACCATACATCTAGTTCTAATCTAAATGTTGTAGTTAATGATATATTTGACTAACAGTGTTGACTGGAGAGAGGATAGCATGATGGTTATATAATTATCATGATTGCTCACCATGTTGGGAAGAGTCTAAATGGGTAAAACAATTAAAAACAAGGGTGGCTACATTTGTTTACAAAAATTCTGTAATTCCCTGTGCTTTTTGCAGACATACATTTTGCCCAGCATGGCAATTTTCAAAGCAGAGGAAGCCAGTGAGGAGACAGCAGCCATGTTGAATAACATGCGCGTGTATGGAACGTGTGTCCTCACCTGCATGGCTCTTGTAGTCTTTGTAGGAGTCAAATACGTCAACAAGTTTGCACTAGTGTTCCTGGCCTGTGTCATCTTATCCATTCTTTCCATTTATGCCGGAGTAATCAAATCTGCAATTGATCCACCAAACTTCCCGTAAGTATAATACCGTATGGTGACAATACAATATTTAATAGCATTAAACCAGCAAACACGATACCTATTAGGTTCCATGAGATCAAATATCAATTGAAATTGATCGGACTTTAATTCAAACTCATTCAGTCAGTTATATTATGTACCCTGTTCACAGCCAGGTGACCTTAGTCTGAAGACAGGTCAAAGAAAAATTGCAAAGTGTCATAAATCTAAAGAAAAAGTGGAAAATATTGAAAAGTTACAGCAAAATGAAAGTTCATTAACCTTACCAGTTACTGGGTTACTAAATTATTCAGCCACTTTTCCCACTTCTGAAAAATCTTGTATCAATGAAGGACCAAAACCCTTACAATTCAGATTCAGGCCAGTAAAAATTGAGAGAAATCCCAGATGCACTCAATACAAGCAAGACCTCCAAGAACACCACAGGAAGATGGATTGTGCTATTGGATTCAACAAAAGCATGATACCATATCAATGGGTAGGGCAGAAAACCTAAAATAATGAATTCATGTCATGGCCAGATGTTCCTACTTGCTTGGTATTTTTTTGTGAAATCTACTGCTCAGCAGTAAATATGAAGTTACTTCACCACTGAAAGCCCAAATACATCTCATTCAAAAGGCTGTTACTTTTACAAGGTTTGTTTTTTAGACAGCAAGAACTAACAGTTGAAGAGTTGAATCTTTCATCAATTCAACTGACCTCCTGTTGATTTCAGTCTGGGTGTACCTCAACAGTGCACTTTCTGGAGAAATGCAAAATTAATGACAGCAACTTCCAGATCCCCCTGTTATTCTGTGCATATGCTGACGTCTGAAGTTAAGAAATTATTTTCTTTTTCTTTCTGTCGTGAGATGGGGGCATTGTCAACAAGTTTAAGATTTTCCCTAATTGCCCTTGAGCTGAGTGGTTTCCTAGGCCAACTAAGTGTCAACTACATTACTATATGGTCTGGAGTCACATGTAGACCAGACCAGATGAGGATGGCAGATAGTGAACTAGATGGGATATTTTATTTTTTGCTCTGTTTAATGATTACTATTAGATCAGTTTATTTTTAGAACCGGATTTATTGACTTGAATTCAAATTTCGACCCAATGTTCTGAGAATGTTAGGTATTACTAGTTCAGAGCCAATATCACTATATCATTACCTTCCCTAATGGTACATGCTGACAGTTTTGTCATTGTTACCACTACAAAATCTGGACTCATGTTGAAAATTGGAGCAATTCATCTGTGTAGCAAACTATTCATTATTCATAGTGAGAAAAATAATTTGTACTTGTAAGACACCTTCTGAAACTTCAGGACGTTCCAAAATGCAACCAATGAAGCACTTTCAAATTTGATACAATGTAATTTTCCGGCAATGCCAGTTTATTCCATAAATAAACTGCTTTTATCTTGCCCCAATCAATCTTCACAGAATCACAGAGTTGTCGAAGGCCATCCATTCATGTGTGTTCTGACTCTCTGGATGAGCGTCATGATATAATGCCATCCTCCCACCTTTTCCTTGTGCCCTTACACATGATTTCTATTTACATAATCATCTAATGTCCTATTATATGCTTCAATTGAGCCTGACTCCATCAAATTCCAATAGAGAATTCCAGACTTGAACCACTTACTGAGTGAAAAAGTTTCTTCTCACATCACATTTACTACTTTTGCAAATTGCTTTAAATCTGCGTCCTATCATTCATCATCTGTCTACGAGCGGGAAATAATTCTCTGTTTATTCTGTCTGGACTCCTCACTCATTTAAATCTTTGATCAAATCTCCTTTTAGTCTTTCCCTCTGCAAGGAAAACAATTCCCACTTATAGTTGTATTTATACAGGATGGAAACAGACCTTTTGGTTTAACTCATCCATGCCGACCAGATATCCTAAACCAATCTTGTCCCATTTTCAAGCATCTGACCCATATCCCTCTAAACCCTTCCTATTCACGTACCCATCCAGATGCCTTTTACATTATAATTGTACCAGCCTTCGCCACCTTCCCTGGCAGCTTGTTCCTTACATGCACTGTCCTTTGCCTGAAAAAGTTGCCCCTTAGGTCCCTTTTAAATCTTTCCCCTCTCACATTAAACCCTCTAGTTTTGGATACCCCTACCCTGGGGAAAAGACCTTAGCTATTCACCCTTTCCATGCGCTCATGATTTTATAAACCTCTATAAGGTCTTCCCTCAGCTTCTGATGTTCCTGAGAGAAAAGTTCCAGCCTATTAGGCCTCTCCCTAAGTTCAAAACCTCCAATCCCAGCAATATCCTTGTAAATCTTTTCTGAACCCTTTCAAATTTAGCAACATCTTCCCTACAGCAGGGAGACTAGAGTTGAATGCAGTATTCTAAAAGAGGCCTCACCAATGTCCTGTACAGCCGCAACACAACATCCCAACTCCCATACTCAATGAAGACCAACGCTTTCTTCACCATCTTGCCTACTACAACTCCACTTTCAAGGACCAATGCCCCTGAACTCCTAGATCTCTTTGTTCGGCAACACACTTTCTTCTTCAATCTATTTTCATAACTGAAGTTTTTCATCATTGGGAACATTGATGTTAACCTCTTTTGTACTTACTCCAATGCATTCACATCCTTTCTAAAGTGTGGTACTTGAAACTGCACATAAAATTCGAACTGAGGTCCAACCTCCATGCTCCTACGGAGGTCCCAGCATCACAGATTCCAGTCTTCAGCCAATTTGATTCACTGTATTAAATATCAAGAAATGGCTAGAGGCACTGGATGTTGCAAAGGCTATGGGCCCTGACAACATTCCAATGATGGTACAGAAAACTTATGCTTCTGGACTCGGTGCTGAGCTATTCCAGTGCAGCCACAACATTGGAATATACCCATCAATGAGGAATATTTTCAGCTGATTTATTAATGACCTTTTCTTCATCATAAGGTCAGAAATAGAGATGTTTGCTGATGATTGCATCATGTTCAGCACCATTCGCAACTTCTCAGATGTTGAAATAGTCCACGTCTAAATGCAGTCAGACCTGGACCATTTCCAACCTTGGTTTGACTTATGGTAATTAACATTTGTGCCACACAAGTACCAGGCAATAACTACCTCCAACCAGAGAGAATTTTATCATCATCCCTTGACATTCAAAAAAATTAACATTGCTGAATCACATACTATCAATATCCATTGACCAGAAACTGGACTGGACTAGCCATACAAATGCTGTGGCTACAAGGTCAGAGGCTAGGAATCCTGCAGCAACCAACTCACCTTCTGACTGCCTAAAACCTGTCCTCCATCTACAAGGCACAAGTCAGGAGTTTGATGGGATACTCTCCACTTGGCTTGATAACAATAACACTCAGGAAGCTTGACCCATTTCCAGAACAAAGCAGCCCATTTGATTGGCATCACAACTACAAATATTTAATTGCCAAAGATACTGTTAATCAATATGAGTCAGGACTGTGAACTGGGCAAGAGAAAAAACTTGAAAATGAATGCTGAATTTGCTTTACAATTTGGGTTTGAACTTGATGTGATTTGCACGTTATAATTGTTTTGTTTCATTTCCTTGATATAACATTGCCCTTCCAGTTTATAACTGCACACCAATTTAAATCCTTACAGGGTTCCTCAGAAATGTTTCCGTCTATTTAACAGTAACTCTTGTTGTAAGAATGGCTACAAAACACTCATTTAACAAAAGATTTCAGCTAAAGCTTCAATCAACAGGTTTGAATTGCAAGTGTTTACACACATCCAGAGAAAAACCTGTAAAAAGTACAAAATTTAAGAAGGTCCTCATTTTATCTTCTGACCAGGAGCTGTAACTGCAAGTATTTGCCTTTCTGCAGAGTTTCCTTATTGAAGAAAGGGCCATATATTTGCTACCAGCATGCTTTTAGTCAAAGGATTAAATATTGTGAACAAAAGGAACAGATCAGCTGAAGTATAGCTGACCCTAGCTTCAGAATAATATATTATGCATTACATAATTGCATTATCACTTCTCACTATGAGTAACACCAAGGAGACCTACTAATACATTCTAATAGATTTCTGAGGAGGGATAATACAGTAAGTGGTTCTGCTGGTGTATAATTGAGATTGCCTCATGTTACTGGATTCATAGTTAACAGGATGTTATCTCTGTTTTCAGTGTCTGTATTCTAGGGAACAGGACATTGTCACGGCACAGTTTTGATGTATGCGCTAAGGTGATGACTGTGGCCAATGAAACAGTGACCACCAAGCTTTGGCAGCTCTTCTGCACGTCTAGTTTTGTCAACGCCACCTGTGATGAATACTTTGAGAACAACAATGTCACTGAACTTCAAGGGATCCCTGGAGTCGCCAGTGGACTTCTCATGGGTAAGTGGTGATGGAAAAAGTGCCAAAGAGGTTAATTACTTATTTTTTGTGTGAGAAAACAGTCCACATAGCAATTGGGGTTTAAAATTCCTTCTTTTTTAATTGAGGTTCTCTTTCACACCTGAAGCTGGTGACCTCAGCTGGATATGCAGTCCTACAGTTATCAATGTCACCCAGATAGCCCGTTCTTCACATGTGAAATCCCAGAAAGTAAGAATAAACCTCAGCTAAGCCAAATCTGTTATCATCCAATATACACAGTCATCTCTGAATGGCAATTTGGAACAAAAACCTCTTGCTGATTTCTCACTAATCCTTCCCTATTCAAAAGGCTTTGAGGTCAGTTGCACCTTAGCTGAGACCAGATAGTTCAGCAGAAACCAGGACTAAATCCAAAAGCCTTGAGCCTAAGTAGATTAGTGCCATTACTCACTGGGCCAAAGATGGAGCAAGGAATATCTCTTTCCAGTTTTCCTATTCTGTTTGTGATGGTCATATAAAACTAAATCAAAAGAACACACAATAACTTAGAAAGTAATTTTAATCTTAGCACGAAACTGATAGAACCAGGTTGGGTAGTCATTTTACAGACTGTCCAATTCTGCTTTTTATGGATGTCAGTGAGCAGTACAATGAGACAGAGTGTTGAGCAGGTAACTGACCCCATTCCATCAATTTCTCCAGTAGGTGGGTTAGGATGGTTTTACTCCTGAGGACTTCATTCCCTTTACTGATTGTCTCATCAGTGGTGTGACTCAATACAAAGTGGGGCTATTCTATTCCTTCACTGGCATTGGGAGAAAATTCTGGAATTTCCCCCTAACCTGCACGAAATGGACTACAACAGTTCAGAAAGGCAGCTCACGATCTCCTTCTCGAGGGCCACTAGGGATAGCCTATTAATGCTGGCCCAGCCGATGACACCCACATCCCATGAATTAACCACAAAAAGTGTTTAAACTGTCCGAGGCCTATTTCCTCAAGTTTTCAACCTCCCAAAACATGAATGGCCTCTTTGTTTGTGGAATTCTGTTCCTCGGAAATGTCAGGAACAACATATTGGAAAACATAATTTACTACAACAAAGCAACAATTAACAGAACACGCAATACGAAGGAAACAGAAAATACTAAGCAGGTCAGGCAGTCTCTGTGCAGGGAGAAACAGAGCTGGTAGTGTTTCAGGTCAATAAATTTTCAATCAGATATAGGCATTTATATACCCGACATACAAAATCAGAAAGAAAAAGTCATGAAGGTGAACAAGATAGAAGAAACAAACTGAAAGCCTGACAGAGAGAAGAGCAGAAATTCTTTAAATTGGGCATTTCTTGAAGAGAAGTGGCATTAATTAAACAACAAATCAAATAAATGTTGTAACTTCTGAAAACCAAAAATAAATAATTCTAAGAAAATTAAGTCTTTCTTGCCTAGAGCAGCAGTTTGCATCATATAACCAACATCATAAAATTCAATTTAAAATATCATTGCATACAATCATCAAAATAATAGATCTGTTACGTGTGCTAAAGGGAGACAGAGTGGAAGAGATTGAAAGATTAGATTGTGAAGAGAAAATAAAGTACATTCCCTTTCTATAGCTTCTTTCATGACCTCATTTTGGAGTGTACTGACTTTCGCTATGTCGGATGTACAGCAGCCAAGATACCAAAGAGAGAGATGGAGAAGAAAGTGTGGTTTGTAACATTTCGACTAATACAAATTTGTCAATCCCAGCAAGTGTGTACTGAAAGCTGGCTATTTTTGAGCCTCTGCATTTTTTCCTATGATCCACTGTTTACTTCCTAAAGCTAAAATAATTTGTTGTTAACTGGTAGCATATTACAAAATAACTTGGCTATGTTGACTGTAATGATCAGTTTTGGCTTTAGAACAATTTCCTACTTCCCAAATATTTCTGGGGTTGTTTATGTAAGGAGTAAACCATACCACAATGGTGCCTGGTGTAAAGTTCCAAAAAGATGGGGAGGCAATGACCTAGTGGTTTTCTCTATAGATAACCTATTAATCCAGAGGCCCAGGTAATGTTCTGGGAACCTGGGTTTGATTTCTCACATGGCAGATGGTGGAATTTAAATCCGATTAAAAATCTGGAATTAATGGTCTGATGATGATCGTAAACCATTGTCAACTGTTGGAAAAACCCATCTGCCTCACCAATGTCCTTTAGGGATGGTAACTGTGTACCATCCTTACCTGGTCTGGCCGACATACAACTCCGGATACACAGCAACGTTTTTGACTCTTAACCAGCCTCTGGACAATTAGGGATGGACAATAACATTGGCCTAGCCAGCAATGCCCATGTTCTGTGAATGAATAAAATAAAAATGTATTGGCTAAAAAAAAGGTAAATCGATGAAAGCTTTTGGAATTTGATTTTGACTGAAATTGTTTCGATATGTGTTTTATTTCCATTGGGTAAAATGCTGAGACGTAAATTACAAAAGCAAAAAGTAAAACAAAAAGTTTGTAGATTTCACAGTTATTTCTCCTATAACGTGATAGTTGCTTTCTTGTATGACCTCACGCTATAGAAAATTGCCATAGGAAATCACGTTATAGGAAAATCGCTATAGAAAATCATTATAGCTGCACAGCAGAAAGTTCACTTATCCAAACAATGTCCACTATTCATCAATTGCATTCCAGCCAATTCGTGTTAACAAAACACGTTTTATAGCAGAAATACCTGTATAACAATTTGTCAATGCCTGGAAACATGGGGATGTGGACATTGTCAGTTCAGAAAAATGTCCAACCTTAATTGCCCTGGAGAAGGTGGTGATGAGTGACCTTCTTGAACTGCTGAAGGGCACGTGGTGAGCTCTCTTGTGCTCCAAGATTTTTGTTGAGTGACACTCTAATCAAAAAAGAACAATTGCACATTTTGCTTATGAGAGAAGCCATTGAGAAAGTGTGATGATTGTTCATAAACAGAAGTGAGATAATTGAATTTCCATTGAGACCAGATAGTATTGTGTTTTCTTGCAGTAAACTCCTCTCATGCACAATGTTATAATAGGAAATCATAGTCTCTGCTTTCAAACCAGAAACCATTAATTGTAACCCATTTCTGTCATTGTCAGACCCACTTAGGATGAAGCAAATATGAAACTGTTAAATTGCTGCATGTGCTAATACATACCATGTAATCTGGGTGAGTAGTTGGGAGAGCAAAACCCGGAGTGGGACTTTTCTGACCCTTTTCTGGATGGGCATTGGGTGTCACTTGTGCCCATCCTGTCTTCTCAGAGCAAGACTAGAAGAATCTTGGTTTATAAGATGACAGCTGGGCCTAGTTTTTCACCAGGATAGACAGCTTCTCCAACCTGGCAGAAGTGGCTTGAAATCACAATTCCACCTGCAAACATGTCACTTTCCAATTCTGCTGATGCGGGAATGAAATTGAAACTGGCTTTATGCCTACTCTGTTCCCAGAGGCAGTTGACTGTTTAAATGGTCAGCTTACTCTATTTAAATCACACTTTGGTAACCCATCTGTATGTCACCAGGAGACACCGCAGGTCAGACCAGGTCACAGTGCATTTCTTTTGGATAGATAGGCCCCCTCCCTTTGGAGAGATGAGGGTGTGGTCCAAGGACACTTTGGGGCTGAAGGGTCAGATATTCTTTGTGAATGTGGGCTACTCAGGTGTCCTTTGGTGCCCTTTGGGATTGTTAACTATAGAAATGATGGTATGCATAAGTTCCTTGGGACCATCAGATCTGTAAAACAAAAAGACCTGTCAAGAAAAGCCAAAGCAGTAATGTGTTTCTAAGAATGAGTGTGCTTTTTATTTCTCAACAGAGTGTAGTCTTCAAAACAGAACTCTAGGTAATTGAACTTTACTTTTTTCCCATGTGTGTGGGGACTTATGGATGCTAGATGCGTTTGCATAGTGGTGAAGGGGAAAAGAGTCATGGGTGCAAGTGTGTAATAAATTGACATGGGTATGCAAGGGGCCATGAAGATGGTGAAGGAGCATAGGGTGGCATGGATTAGAAATGGGAACAGTGTGGGAATCGGGGAAGTGAGGGAAGCATGAGGGGTGAGGGCTGGAGGAATGTTTTATATTTTATTCTTTCATTTTAGTTATTGGACACAGTGCTGGGACTTTCTACCTAATCTACCTCAGAAACTGGTCGCTTCTGCAGCTCTTCCTGGGTTTGTCCTGTTAGAATTCCAAACCAGTTGTCACCCTAACCCTAGCTAACTCCAATTCCCTCCCCCACCAGATTGAAGAGAAGGAGTGTGGCGGCTGGGAAGCCTCCTGCCTCTGTGTACCAGAACTGAGAATGAAAGTTACAGCCTTGGCATCCAAGGTTCTGCAAATTCTGCCTCTACTACTCCTAATACACTGCATGCTAGGCTTGAATCCCGGGGAAGTCTGCACAGCAGTTTTAATAATGTTTTGTATTTGGAAGTTTACAATTGAAATTCAAGACATTTAATCCCATTTTATTGTGATTTTTGTCCATCTCAGTTAGGCCTGGTACACTGTAGCAAAGTGCTACAGCAACATTTATCCCTAACATTGAGAATGGTGCCCAGTCATACAAGGTGGTATTGCTACCCAAGAAACATATGTGCTTTGTTGGCCGTGATATTTGGGACAGGGTGTTTAACAGTACTAGTTAATGTGTAGAAGTTCTGCCACATCGTATTTCTAGTAACACAAGACTTTTCAGAACCTTAAATATTGCTAGTGTGAACTCACGAGAATACATAATCCAAGCCAGCCAATTTTCCATCTGGGAGTTAGGTTAATAGTATCAACTGTCTGTTCTTTGCCTCCAAAAAAATCCTAACTTTTAGATGGCCTCTTTCACATCATCAAAGCATCCCAAAGTTTGCCATTTCAAATCTTGCTGAAGTGCAAAATCCCACAAAATATAAATGAAATGAATGAACCAGTATTTATTTTAACTTGACAATGAATATTTCATCAGGACACTGAGGAAAACAGCCCTGCAAGA